AGGCATTAGAATTCAATCCCCGTATATAAAAATTTACACCATGATTATAGAGCTTCTAATCTAATTCTAAAGCCAAGTAGAGTAGCAAAAAATAATATATTTTTTATATATGATAGTGAACCCTATAAGGCCTATGAGGACAATCCAGTAGTATTTTTTTTACACATAAAAGTCTGCTCGCCCTCCCTGCTGCTCCATATACTTATTGCTTTCTCTTTTAACACCCATAAGTTTTTTATAAACTACATATTCAGGTACTTTGGATTTTAAAACTTAATCTTCAGTTTCCATTTTTTGTTTTCATTTACATAGTTTGTACACTTTTATTATTAATTTGAAGCGTATATTTGGTTTTAGATAAACAAAGTTTTGTGTTTCCATTTCAGAAAATATTACAATATTCAAAGAAACTTTGCTTTGCTACCATCCTAATTGTTGTAATACTGCAAATTTAAAAACACCACACAAAACCAATGTAAATAAAAATAAATAAAAGTAATTATTCATAAATCTGAATAGCTTATTTTACTTAATTTTTTATACTCACCTAAATTAATATCCTATATATTCTAATGTATATTAGTAAAGCAATAATAGTAGGTTTTGAATGTCAAGAAAATGAAAATAAAATTGCCTCTTATTTATATACAGTATAACCAATAATAACTGTTGACAATTTGTCAGATATGTTGCACAATTGTCTAAACGTCAACCATATAAATTCAATAATTTTTATAAAAATTTCAACATAAATTACTAAAATTTATAAGAACAGTTGATTCAAGCATACCTAAACTGAATAATTTAACTAAAGGCAAAAAATTTTTTTTTTTGCTTTGAGATTGTTGCGATTGTAGCAAAATACTTGACATACATTAAATTTATTAATTCACTAAGCAGTAAAAAAATGTCAATCATATACATACAAAAATATAAAATATGCAAAGCAAATTTAATAGATTTAAATCAAATAATCACATGAATTTTCCAAAAAAATGCACTGGTCCCAACTTATATAATATCTATAGATTTTCATTTTCTAAACATAATATCTCTAAATGCAAGATTGACCAATTTTTTCATATAGGTTTTTTGGCTATATATTTAGAGAAGGTTGGCTGTATTAAAGAAAGGTTCTGCTATGAATTTTAAAAAATATCTTCGAAATCCAGTTTTTTGAAAAGAGTGACCAATTCCCATTTCGTGTTAAGATTAATCACAGGATGAACAGTATTATTTAGAGAAATCTCATCATTATTATCTCCCCTTTCTATATTTTTGTTTTCAAATCGTTATTTTTCTTCTTCTAACATCTCTACCCATTATTGTAAATAATTATCAAACCCTTTCTTGACACTTATATCTTCATTTTCTGATTCATCTAAAGATTCAACTATTTTTATATTTTCTAAAACTTCTCTATTTTCTGAAGATTCAACTATTTTTACATTAGAACCTAAATTATTTATACTATCCAAATTATCTGAATTAACTAATTCTATATTAGTATTTGTTTGTTCTACAGAATTTATTTCCATATTTGTATTAAAGATATATATATCGGTATTAGTATGTGTAAAACCTGATCGAAGCCGGTGACTATATGTAATATCTGCATATAACTTGCTCATTTGTAAGGCTTTGGCAGGCTAAAATTAATTTAGTAAGATTTTAATTTCAAAATATATGTATGTTAATGAATTTAGAATATTTGGGGTATTGTGAACAGGATCTGAATTCTGCAAGCAGAATAATAAACTATTGCGAATATAGCCTATTATGATAAATTAGAAATTTATTTTTTTTTATAATTTTGTTTTTAATACCATAGAATCTGCTGATTTAACGATAATTGTAGCAGCAGTAGTATTTTTCAGCTGCCCTACTTTTTTAGTAAGTCAAAAGTACATCGAGGGCATGTTGAGTATAATACTGGTTCACTTATTCCTGAATTACGAACACAAAGTAAATTTTCCAAATTATATAATATAATTAAAATTTTTACTTTTATATTCACAACACAGGAAGAAGTGAACCTATATTACACTTGACACATTCTGATGCACTTTTGATGCACTAAACAAAGTAGGCAGTTGTTAAAATCAGAAGACCACTGCTAATTGTAATTAGGACAGTGATAACCTGGATACTCTAAAATAATTATTGTTATATATAATTAGACATACCATCAATCTGTTACGTCAACCTGTTTGTAGAAATCCTATATAGCTTCAAAGATGCTCTACAGCAGCCATATTTACATATATCCCAAAAATTCAGCTTGCAACTAAACCTAATTCTTCTGTCGATGAGCTTGCAAAGCTCCAATATTCACAAATATTATCAAATTAACTCCATGTTTTTTGATCAAAAGGATACTTTTTAACTGAAATCTATCAAATTCTTTTAAAATTTGTGTTGGTTCTGTTCCAAGCCATGCTTCATAATAATAAGCTAGCCAAAGGTCCAAATTAACATAATTAATATTAATGTTAAATTGCTCTAAGCAATAATTAGGATATAAAAGACAGGATAAAATTAATAAAGGTTGTTTCTAATCTTTCTATTGATATTTAAAATGTAATATAAGTCGAGCACTAAGTTGCAAGTCATTATCATAATTATCCCAAAACTAAACAAGATAACCTAAACTTAAAATAACCTGATGCAAGCAAGCTTTATTAGATTGTAACTTATTCAAGATAATATAATATGGTTGGAGAAGATTAAGCAAATGACGAATATTGGTTTAAAATTAGCAGAACTAATTATATCATATATTTCACGCCTTAATTTTTTTGGTTCTGTTTTAGTATATGAAGTTGGTTTAAACTTAATTGCAAGTATCTATATATATAGTAAAGTAATAAAATATTAATATTTTATTAATTAAGTTTGATCTTGGTAATGACATCAGAACGGCCTCCTTAAGTTCAGATGTGCCAATGCCACAGCATCTAGTAACACTTCAAGCTGAAGTAAAAATTTGATAAATGATATTTTGCTAACTTTGAGATTATAATCTATAAGTTCTAAAAAGTCATTTTGTTAATGAGTATTACAAGTGTTAGATACTGCGTTAGTAATACACCTGAACTTTGTAGAGCCACCCTGATATCATTGATAAAAGCTCGGTTTAAACACTTTGTGTCTATTTAAACTTTAATTATTGGTAATACAAGATAGTTTTTAATTATAGTTTTATATAAACTAAGCATTATAAAGGTTTCAAAATTAATGGTTGGCATCCGATTTTAGACAAAATAAGTAATGTATTTATATCAAATATATAATTTTAAAAATAGAAGTAGACTTCTACTTATTTTCAAAATAAGTTAATTATGAACCCCTTATAGTTAAGCTTGTAAAATATCAAAAACATGATAATAAAAATATACTAATTTACCTGTAGAGCCTTTTGTGTTCTTAAAATGCTTGAACAAATAGTATAAAACTGTTCTATCAGGTTTCTCCAGGAATATTAAACGCAAAACACTTTTTATATTTAGTATATTGTATTTTTTTCAATGTCGCTATAAAAAATTTATTTATTGGGTTTTTAAAATATATTGCAAGACAAATTGCCTGATCAATTGTTTTTTTAAAATTGGTTGATTCCTTAAAGATTTCGCTAATACACAAATTTATTTGATGTGCATAGCAAGGTAAAAACACAATTGACCTATTTACAATTCTCAAGCAATGTCTATTAAAAAAAATTATTATTATTATTATATGATTTATCGAAAATTTTGCTACAAATTTTAAAGCTAAAATTAAACTTTAGGATTAGGATTTAAGGCTTAAATTAAAGTAGAAGTGAGGGTTTTTTATGGTGCTGAACATTTTTACTTGGTATACTAAATACTGATTATTAAAGCCTGGTGAATTTCACCCTGGTAAGCATTAAAATCATCTAAATTATTCTTTTTTTTTATTTAAAATAAAAAAAAAACAATATATCTAGCAGCTGCATATGCTCCTGCGCTATCAGTTACAATAGAAATGATTTTGATCGTCTGTGCCTTTAATTCAGTAAGCATTTCATTAATTTTTTTAATCACTTTTACATAGATTTTGTGTTCTAAACTTATATTTTGTGCTTTCCATACAAAAGGTCAACCTTCTGATGTGATTATTACTACTTTTAACAAGTGTTCATTTCAAATGTTAGTCTAACCATCAAAGGTTAATGTTATATCAACTTGATCTTCCTTTAACATAGCTAGCATAGCTTTATCAGATTCACTAATTGCATCATTCAAAATTCATCCTCCAAGTAAATGTCGATCAAGAAGTTTGATAAGTGGATTAAGAAATTTAAATAACTCAGTTGCTTTGAGTTTATTTACCTAATGCAACACCCACCTACAAGAAACTATAAGACGTAAAAGGAGTTGATAAAATCTTTCTGTATCTTCTAATGACAAAGATCATACAATATAACTGTTCATTGGTCTAAAAGATAATGATGATCATGTGATTTTTGAAGCCAAAGAATATGAATTTAAAAAAGAATATAAATTAAAGGATATCGATATAGTTTTATCAGTTTCTGTAAAAGTAAATTTTGTAAAAAATAAATAAATATATACAATATATATTTCTATTTATTGTACAGAGCGAAGCAATGGAATTAAATATAGATCTTTAGAAACATTAACTAGTTTAAAAATTTTTTTTCTTTCTTTGGCAGTTGTTTCTGCAATAAAATGTACACATTTTTTGAAATGCAAAATTATTTTGTCTGTTTTATTAGAAAAACAACATTTTGAACCTTCTATTTGGTCTAATTGATTTATGCATAGTTTATAATATATTTTTATATTATGTTTGTTTATCTTTTCATTAGTTTTAATGATAAATTTGTCAAAAATCTGTGGTAAAAGTAGTATCACTACTTGGATTTAATCATAAAAGAAAAAATTTATTGGATTATATAAGTTACTTGAACTTAACAAAATAAAATTACATGTTGATGACTTAAATACTGAAAAAATAACTATCAAAATGAAAAAAAATAATAATTATCAAAAAGCTATATTAGTATTTGGTCAAAAAAAAGAAAAAAGAGCATCAGATGATTTGTTAAAAAAAACATATCAATTATTAAAATTAAAGAAGTCGTCAAAATCTTATCAGTATGCATCTAAAAAAAAAAAAAGAATTAATGACTTCAACTATTGACTTCTTTTTTGAACTTGGTGTTTATGTTAATCCCACAATACCTTGATAAATAAAGATAAAAAAAGAATAGTGAGAATTTTTTTTTTATTTAGATAAAAAAAAAGTTTAAGATCGAGTATTCCACCATTTTATTAGAAATAACACTAACAATCCTATTACTATTACTACTTTTTAGAATGAAATAACTTATGAAAATATTATATTTCTTTTAAAATTCGATTTACTGAAGTTTGATATATATTAATACTGTAACAAATTAATTTTATAATCTTATTCTTTTTGATGTAACTGATTATCTAATTAAATTATTATCGTAATTATTAAAGCCCTTAAAGGAGGCAATGTGCATATTGATATAAGGATTATACGATAGAATGGTATCTCTGATGTCATAAAGTAGATTCCAGAATGTGTTCTCTTTCATCTTAATCAAAATGTATAGGGATGTGGCGACTTAGTGAAGTTGGTAAATTGTCACCCCTCCAAATGGCAAGTCTAGAGTTCAAATCCCACTGGCAACGATTTTGAAAAATAAGATTTGTTTCGATAACATTTATTTGATGATTGGTTGGGTGTACTACCTGTAACCTTGGTATCACCATCTTGAATGGGAGCTTTCGAGCGAAGTTGTGTAACATCACATAGACAAAGCCAAAAAACCAGAATAATTGAAACCCATTTGGAAAGACCCAAGCAAAGAGGTAGTGAAGATCTTTGACGATATTGCAGAAGCTAGAAGCCTAGAAACCGGAGACTGAAGAACCGGATGAATAACTCTGGGGCAAGAAGGGTTCACCAACCTGGCCGCTGGAGTCGCACTGGAGAAAAAGGTCCTATACTGTGGAATTAGAAACCAAAGGAAGGGAACCATTGGATACTTAAAGTCTAGGTATATAAACCTATCCGGGCTAACTGGTTTGGAAGTTTGGAAGGGATCGGTATAAGGACCAGAAGGAAGGTAGATGTAGGTATCGGAATTAGAACGAACTTTGTAAGGGCAGGAGAACCAGGAATTGTGTGGTTTAATAGTTAGCCCTAACCACTAGTGTTAGTTTTGGCCATAGCAGACAGGTTCTCTGAACCTAATTTGGAAATATGTGGGATATAGAAGAATTAGGGAGGCAGCCACTACACCCACCTGTAGGGACTCTAGGAAAACCAACAGGATAACCAAGTTCAGGTAAGTGAGTGGAGGCACTTTGGTATAAAGGTACCTAGCTTAGAATAATTGGTGGGTATGTATGATCAGAGGGTTTAAATAGATAATCCTCTAGTTGGATTATAGGCATGGCATCTAGTGTAAAACCTTCGGGCGGACTACTTAAATAGGCAACCAAAAGTTGTACGTGTGGCTAGTTGTACTCTCATTGTAATACTAAATGTAAGACCCATATAATCAACAGTTAAATATCAATAAAGCTTGGTCCCGAAAAACACCTTAAAAAAAAAAAAAAAATATATATCAAAATGTATAAAAGTGAAGCATTTATTCTAATAAAAAAAACCTTATTTTTGTAATAAAGTAACATAAATATTAAGTTGCTCTAATAGAATTACTAAAATTACTATGTATTATAGAAACCTTTTATTATTCAATTCACATAATTTCTAGTAGCGGTTGGAGCTACACTGCATATTTATTGTGCGTCACTCTCTCAAACCAACTATTACAATATATAATAATAAAATTTTAATATAAGGCTATACAAATTTAATTAATTGTTTCTCATAACCTGGTCGGGTCAAATTTTAAAAACTCTTGAAGAAAAATTTTTTATATGTTTAATAGTCTGGTGGGGTTTCAAAAAAAATATTTTAAAAATTTTATAAAATTTTATATATAAAATTTAAAAGAAAAAGCCGGCTGGCTAGGTCATTTTTAAAATTTAATATTATGAAAAACAAAAAATTAATTTTGTATGATCTAAGACTTTTACAATTTTGGGAAACAATCAGAATAAGGTTTTACTGTTACAGGTTTTTATCTTGTGCAAAACTTGTATCCATATTAATGCAATAGTATAGCCAATTAGAATTATTACTGCCAATAGCATGCTTGGACATTTGGACATTGTCTATAGACAAATGTCCATGTCCAATGGTTTGATTAGATATTTATTACCGATCAGCCAATAGCATAGTTGGATATTGGACATCATCCATGAACAAATGTTCATGTTCAATGATTTGATTGGACATCTTATATAATTCCAAGTATTACAAATCAGCAAAATTTTTTCAATCGATTAGGTTACAACTAATCGATTAATTGATTAGTTGCAACTAATTCATTAACGTTAAGTAAATAAATAATTTTTCAGTTGATTCATTTGCAACAATTGATTATTGTGATTTGCAAAATAATGTAAAATTTGAAAATCATTAAAAAAAAAAGTAATCACGATTTCTGATTACTGATTTTTAATTCTTCAACATTTTTTTAATTCTTAGATTAGACAAAATTTGTACAGTTATTATTTTGTAAAAATTATATTATTTTTATAGAAATTTAAGTTGCATATTCATCATTTTGCAGAAATAGAGTTGCAAATTAAAATATTCAATCAAATTTTTACAAATAATAAATATGCAAATTTTGTCAAGCCTAAAAGTCAAAAAAAATGTTGAAAAAATTAGAAATCAGTAATCAGAAATTATAATTTTACAAACCGCTTAGTCGATTAATCGATTATTGCGATTTGTAAAATTATGTAAAATTTGAAAATCATTAAAAAAAAAGTAATCACTGATTTCTAATTACTAATTTCTGATTTCTTCATTTTTTTGACTTTTAAACTTGACAAAATTTGCACATTTATTATTTGTAATAATTTGATTGAATATTTTAATTCACAATGCCTAATTCTGCAAAATAATGAATATGCAACTTTTATTTCTATAAAAATAATAAAATTTTTACAAAATAATAACTGCACAAATTTTGTCTAATTTAAAAGTCAAAAAAATGTTGAAAAAATCAGAAATCAGTAATCAGAAATTGTGATTACTTTTTTTTTTAATGATCTTCAAATTTCACATAATTTTGCAAACCACAATAATCAATTTGTTTGTGTCTAAAAAGTTCAATCAATTAGTTATCAACAAACCAACTAATCGATTTTTTTAACTTTTAATTTGTAATACTATCTCATGCTAAAACATATACTTTATATTCAACAAGACTTCAGCTTTCCAAAATTCCTTTCTAAGATCCAAACTTCTTGCTAGTGACAATGTTAAAGGGTAGGTAATATCGATATGTGGCAACATAAGACTTTTACAAATTCAGAAACAATCAGAATAAGGTTTTACTATTACAGACTTTTATTTATATAATGCAATAGTAATTATTATTGACCAGCCAATAGTATTCTTGGACATTTGAACATTGTCTATGGACAAATATCCATGTCCAATAATTTGATTAGACATTTATTACCAATTAGCCAATCAAATCATTAAATATAGATATTTGTTCATGGACAATATCCAAATGTCCAACCAAATACTATTTATAATTATTACAAATCTCATACTAAAACATATACTTTATATTCAACAAGACTTCAGCTTTTCAAAATTTCTTTCCAAGATCCAAACTTCTTGTTAGTGACAATATCAAAGGGTAGGTAATATTGATATATAGCAATATAAGACTTTTACAAATTCGAAAATAATCAGAATAAGGTTTTACTGTTACAGACTTTTATCTACATAATGCAATAGTAATTATTACCAATCAGCTAATAGCATTTCTTGAATATTTGGACATTGTCTATAGACAAATGTCTATGTCCAATGATTTGATTGGACATTTATTATCAATTAGCTAATCAAATTATTGGATATAGACAATTGTCCATAGATGATGTCCAAATGTCCAACCAACTATACTATTTATAATTATCACAAATCTTACACTAAATATATGCTTATATTTAACAAAACTTCAGCTTTTCAAAATTTCTTTCCAAGATTCAAACTTTTTGCTAGTGACAATGTCAAAGGGTAGATAATGTAAAAATATGGAACTAAGTACAATATGTGGCAAAGATTTTAAAAGAATTCAAGACTAGTTTTGGTGTCATGATTCAGCAAAATCTTAGCTTTTCAGATTCGAAATTCCTTTTTTTAGGATTCTAAATTCTTGCTAACGACAACACTAAGGGAGTTAGACCACGTAAAATACAGAAGCCTGTGCAATATATGACAAAGTTCTTAAAAAATATAAAAATAGTTTCAGGATTGTGATATGAAAATTTTCCTGTTTATATTCAACAAAACCTTATCCAAAAATACTAAAATAGTTTATTTTATCAAATAAGTTAGCGTAGATGTGATTTGGATCAAATACGTATAGGAGATGTTTAACCTAATATAGGTTAATGCTGTAATGCGTCTCTGGTAAAAGTGATAAAAAAAATAAAATAAAATTATTATTTAAATGATATAATTAAGGGAAAGCTTAGCTGATAATAAATAATTTGATAATGTTGTCTCTATAAGTTTCAGGAATTTATAAGAATATGTAATTTGGAAACTAGTGATCTTTTTTAGAATTTGGAGCCGGTTTTATTTTTCATATATTAAACCTGGTTGAAAAATAAAACCAGTTCCAAACTCTAATCCCTTCAGAAAACAAAAATATAGATCAGTGTTGTTAACTAGAAACACTGGAAGGCCATTGAAACTCTACTAGAAGCAAAAATTAATAGTACTACTGGAACTTTTACTATTAAAAATTTTCACTGGAAGGCTAGAAATTCTTACTGGAAGCCAAAATTAACATCACTGATATAAATAATAAGGAATCGAGTACTGAAAATAGTGAATCTAAATCAGAAATTTTCTTGAAGTATAAAAAAATTTTTTTTATCATTATATTTTGTGTTTAAATGAATATATTTACTAATTTTATGTTTTAGATGCTTGATTGTCTTGAAAAATCTAATAATTTTTCCAAACAAACAAATAGGTTGAAGTATTAAATTGAACTTTAA